ATTTTCGGTTTTACGGTAACAACGGTGACATTAGAGTGAAAGAGAATTACACTGAGATAAAACATTTGTTAGCTATTACAAATGTTCTGCCTTTATAAACATTCGAAAAACCGTTTTTCACATGCTTTTTGAGGAATTGCGCCTGGCGATAGATAAAATTAGTAAGGTCGTCTTACTTGTATAATATAGAAATATGTGAGCAGGTAACACTTAAAGAAACCGATGAAATTTTAAACGAGTTTTTTTGCAGGGTATGTCATGGTCCAGGAGCGACACAAACCATAATTGCACAGTGTACAGGATTGTAAGTGGTTAACTTTAATCGTATTTGTTTTAAACAATTAACTAAATATTATATAATATCGATCTGAATTAAACTGAAACGAAATAAAGTAACTCCCTGGATCTAAGAATATAGCCTCATCCACAATCTTCAGAAAAAAAGAGTTCTAACAAAAAAAAGAAGTTTTGCTCCGCTTGGATCACTCTAACCTCTGTAGGACGTTTGACAAGCAAGTTTTTAAATTAAGTTTTTGTTTATTGGTTCAAAGGTGTTTGAGCAGTGAGCGATTGAACATATTAGCTGTAAAAGCAGTTAAACGCCTTTTCAAATAGTTTTTTTCCCTTTTCTTTTGCTGTAGTTAGTTGACAGCCCTGGCGCAAAACTTTATTAGCAAGAAAAAAATTGAAACTGATTGACATTTATTCAGAACGGTAGGTCAAAATTTTAACATTCCATTTTTGTGCTTGTGACACTTCAAAGCCTCTTCATTTTACACGATTCTGAATTTGAAATAAATGATAAAAAATGAATAAATGTTTAAGGTAGAAACCAGAGTTTATTATAAAAGCACTTCATAATTTGTTGACGTATCTCTCGCTTCAAAAGCAAAAATAAAAATTCTTTCTCAGCGTCCTCCCTTTTCCTATTATGAAAGATTTGTGAAGGTTGAAAAATTAGTAAGGTAAAGGATAAGTAGTCCAACAAAGCCCATCAACAGCTAATTCGGTAAACGAATATGTTAAGAAGGCATAATGACGAATTAGACAAGCACTCAAAATCTAAGTTTTTTTAGCACTAAGAAACAGAAGATTGCTTCTTGAACCCATTACCCCCTCAATCCTTGCTTATCAGTGCCTTCCAGCCTATGAATATCTTCTCTTTAAGTAGGCTTTCGGAAGCAGGGCAAACAACAGGAAAATCCTCTGCTACTCCTCTCAAGGTTCTAAATTTTACTTTTGGCTTCTGATGTAACGCTAGCTTATTTTCCAGTTCTTAAACTCCAAAATTTACGAAACGAATTTTTGAAGGATCAGTCTGCATTACCACACTTGCTCCTCCTTCTCTCTTTCCACTCTATCATTGCGTTCAGAAGCGCTAAATCAAAGAAACTGTAGAACAAAAGCTGAGACTGATAAAGGGAAATACTTTAAAATGTTGTGAAAAGGATAAGTGAGTTGTCATATAAATAAGTAAATTAAAATCTTTAAAGTCGTAAATGCCTTCTCACCGAATGCGTAACACCACTGTAGCCACTATTCAAATTTGATAGAGTAAGTCAGTTTTTGGTACACAATGGTGAAAACCAAAGAAAATCAAAATTTAAATTTGGAAGAAAATTAAAGGTGACAACTAGAAGTGACAGGGCGTACTTGAGCCGTTCTTAACGGGATAAACCAAATCACAAATTGCCCGGTTTATTATCACATATTGAACTTTAGTTAATGATAAATTAATCTTAATCTTAAATATACAAGTTTTTATCAAAGCTGTTCATTTTTTAAACGTAAGTCAGAACCAACAAGAATATCTCTAAAGTTGGAAGACGCTTTTTACGCTTTTGTGAGCTGAAAAAATTGGTTATTCAATTATTCTTTCACAGTTTGTTTTTCTGCTTTCTTCTTAAACTTCTTGACGAAGTTAGTATCTTCATTGCCAGCAACGTTTTTGCTCCATGGTTTGTTACAGCTTTTTGCTGTCGCCCTTTGAGCACCTGTACTTGCATAAAAGCACATTTCACTGGGCAATTATAAAAACACTACATTCGCCTTTTAATTTGTTAACAGGTGTTACATATGACAGGGTGTTAAACACGACAATGCCAAGTACGGCAAATTTTGAAGATTTTTTCATAAGAAAAAATGAAAGATTTCATCAGAAAGTACCTGATCTGCCGTATGCCCAGCCTTTCTTACGCGCTCGTGAGCTGGCATACTGAATGTTAGCACAATTACCTCTTTTGTCGTTAACACTGTAACTGGTAATCGTGAGCATTTTTTAAATATATCATTGATGGAAAGGGTGGTACTCTTTGAAGTCTTAAAAGCACCATAACTAAACTATCGGCTTTTTTTTCTCGGGTTCTTTATTTCCTCAATAACCTTTAATAAAGACTGCGTTTCTTATGGATGCCGTAATCATCTTAATGGATGCATTGAATGCAATCGTTTAATGCGTAGATGTGATGCAGCATACTTCAGACTTTTTTGGCCTACAGTCCTCTTCTGGTGCGTCAATTCCTTTATCTACTCCCTTGCCGGAACAGTTACCCCTCTTCCCTCCCTCTACAATCGTTAGTGCCTACTTCTGTTTAGTTATAGCTTTTTTTTGGAATTAAGAGTTGACAGCTTAATAATCACTAAAACAGTTTACCGGGTGATGTAGTCGTCGTACTCGAATCGAAATCAGAACTGCTTTTATCTGAAATTAACAAGTTTAATTTTAAAAAAGAATGTGGGACGCTGCTCATGAAGTAGATAATAAGTTAACGGTTTAATAATGGAGTATCTAGTAGGTATTCAACAAATGCTGTAGACCAGTCGCGACGACAGCAGTTGGTAGAGCTCATTAGCAGTTCAATGATGAAGCAGAACGCCAATGAAGCGTACGTCGTTGCTTTGAATTGACTTTAAGTATTTAGGACTGCTTAATGCTGAAAAGACGACAAAGAAGCAAGAAACATTTTTTTAGAATTGTCTTTATCAGATAAATGAAATAATTCCTTGAAATCAGTGCAGCTTATAGTCCCTTGCTTAACTATCAAATTGGCTACACCAAACTATGATTCTGTTATGACAGCAGCAGTTGAGAGCCTTTAAGAAGATAAGTCTTAATCTGATATGGATTAGAAAATCAAGAAGCGCAGGATTACAAACGCTTAATTGCCCAAACTTGTTCACGCTACTGCTATCGGGAAACTGACTAAAGTCTGATTTAGGCAAAAAAGTTTTGAGAAGATTAATAAAACTTGAGTAAGTAGTTTAAAATAGAACGTCGTTGCTTTACCTCATAAAACACTTTGCTTTACCTAGCGCTCTTCTATACACCGGAAATTCGTGAGCTTGCGTAAATTTAAAACAGTGCATCAAACTTTTTGACTTGTCGTCCTTTTTCAAAAGGCAGATTTTGTCATTAACCTAACTGCTAACTCACTTATTTCCTTTCTTCTTTTTCCGGTAGTAAGTGCCTACTACTGTCAAGGTGGCAAATGGATTCTTGCTATTTTAAAAATTTTGACATTGAGCATGTTTTACGACTTTATCAAATGTTTAAAATTTTGCTTAAAGGTTTCTGTAATTGAAACGAATTGACTTTGAAAAAAAATGGAACAATGATTCTGATAGAGCAAAAAAACTTTCTTTAAATGATCCACAATATTGCGTCAAAGCAAGAAAAGTGATAAAATTTATAGAAAAGCATTATTCAACCCAACAAATACGCTTTTAGTTTTATAAAATCATTGATGAAAAAGACTATACATATGTCATTTCTGCTACAATTTCTGCTAAAAAAAGACATCTTAGAATTTTTATTGGTTGCTCCCACTAAAGTATTCTAAATTAGTTCACTACTATCTTTAGAAAGAATTTAGACCCCAGCTTGTTTAACCAACATTTTAAGCTTTTATCTCCTTCATGTTAGCGGCGATATAACGTCTTTTGCGACTTAATTTAATCAAAAGCGAAGAACGCTGGTTGTCATTTTTATCGGTTTCGTCCAACTTGCTAATAGATCACATCAGCTTTTTTAGCTTGTGACAGTTGCTTTACGTAAAATTGAGGAATGCAGTATGAATTTTGTGGTCATGAATTAGTTTCGTACAACAACAGTCAGTCGCCTGCGTTTTAATAAATGTAATGTAACTGAGAGTATGTGTGATAAAACTGGGGTTTACAAATATTATTTGTAATCATTGCTTGTGCTCTAACCAAGGATATATTATGATGAAATATATTTTGTGCTGCTCTAAATAAATTTGAAATTTTTATGCCGTGGAGCAACTGTTCAAGTTTTCAAACAAAACATTTCTTCCATTAAAGTATATGGTAAAGTTCCTTAGTAATTTGGCTTTCTTCGCATTTTTCTCCAGATCTTTACAAGCTGCAAAAACCCATTATAAAGGTAGTTTTTCGTTTTAATTAAAAAGTGTGGACGATTTTGCAGTTTTCAAGAAAAACATAGCAGCACTACCACCAAAAAAGTTGGCTAAAATGTTCACAGTAATTCAGTAAAACGAAGAACTTTACTGTGATTCTGAGTTTAAAAAAAAGCTACGCAAGGTGGCAAATGAAGTATGAGAATGCAGGAATTAGGTGATCATTGAAATAGGCTCAGGACTGCTCTGTCAAGGAATAAGAGCTTCGTACTTTTGAAACAGGATTTCGGACAAAGAGTGAGAAAGGGAAAAGAAAATAGCGAAAAGGTAAGGATGTGAAATCAGGAAGACCAATAATAATCATAGTTTAAAGTGTTGCAGTTAGATTATGTCTCATTTAAGACCAGGCAAACTTAATATAGTATAGCTCTTTTGTTTTATCTTTCTAAATATTGCCAACCTACCAAAGCTTATATGACCTTACGCTAAAGAATTCACAAAAATAATACTTTGTTAAGACCCAAAATATTTTATCCAGTGATGGATGCAGACTGTTCGACTGTTTTGCAATTCAATTTTAGCAGCACTTGTCAAGTAAGGATTTATCATTTAAAGATTGACTTACTAACCGTTATCCATGAAAATTCCAACCAGAATGAATCCTGCTATAAGTGCTAATATAAACAATACTATTGCGGTCTTACAACATTGTCTTGCCATAGACGGAATTTGATATACTTCTTGATTTTTGGTCACATTAACATCTGCAAATTCTCGAACTAGCGAAGATATGGTAAAATTTTCATATTGCTGATTTCCCACGATTTCCTCATGTTCGCTGTCGAAAGACGAGACAGTCAAAGATGCCGCAGTGGTCAATTCAGGATATACGTTTGCTGCATTTACTTTTGGTGAACTACCTCGTTCGCCTTGATCCTTCTCAAGGTTTACGTACCGCCGATCAGATGAGGTGGACTGATCTGTACCTTTAGTTCTTAAGTTCTGTTCCACAAAAATGGAAAAATCACTCGGTTGCTTCTTTTTTTTATTTTTAAAGAGTCCCATTGTCGAGTCTAAAGATATAAATTGTCATTTCAATAGTGTACATCCACTCTAAACTCTGATGTTTATATAGAACAAAGCAATGCGCTTAGTTGTGCGTTTGTCGATGTATTATGCTAAAGTTTCAATCGCCACAAACACCAAACTGTTGGAAAACTTTTGTTTAAACAAAATTTAGAACAGCTATACACATCAGATATGTTGGTACTAAAAGTACTGAAATAATTTAACCAGAGGAATATAAAAATAGGTAACAGAAAGCACCTCTAACGTTCAAATAATTCTCACTGTCTCTGTAGTTCCTTTTTTTGATGGAAGTGATTAATCTCCAAATTTTTTTTTTCCTGATTGAATTTACAATATCGGTCGTAAAGCCAAAAGTTTATGCTCAATATAACACAACGTTTTTATAATGTGTTATTATCAATTTGAAAAAAAAAAAAGCAAAAAAAAGTATAACGATTGCAATAAAACAATACTGGAAAATAGGATAACCAGTAGAAAAAACTGGAAAGATACAATAATATCACTACTGATATGAGTGGCAACATTAAATATTTTTTCTCGCTGTATATTTTATTTATTTATCAGCTGTAAAAAGTTGAAAATAAAAATTTTTTTCTATTTTTGTGTACAATAACTGCTCGCAATGTACTAAGCCGTTTACAACCAATAGCCAAAGCGAGGTCATGTTAAAATTGTACCATTTGATATGAGCGAAAAAAAAAAAAGGAATCAGAAATAATGTCTAAAAAAAAGTCAAAATAAATGATTATTAGTTAGGTTTAAAGTACAGAAAAACTATTAGCTAATAATGTATCATAATTTCTGGTGGTGCGTTTGCCACAAATGATAGTTGATTAAAAAGAATGCCGTACGACTTATTTACATTATAAAAAAAATATCAACAAAAAAGAAACTGTCATGAGCAATTAGAACAAAGTTCAACATTTTTTTCCCACATACCACACCATCTCAGTGTTTTCAGTCTCTAATTCCATTAGACTTTCAGTTTCTCTAGTCTCCACCAAGCCAATCTCTGCTAAATTTGTATATTCCTTTGAAGCTTAAGAAATACTATTCAATGTTAGACAGGTAAGCATAATAACTGACACAAACTTTCTTTTTTTGAAATTTAAGGTTTAAACGTCAGTGT